TCTTCCATATCTCTGAGATACCTACCAGATTTTAAAGAGATAATAAAAGTGCTGAAAGAGATAATCTAGAGCATGTATTTCAATGACAATGAAGTTCATATAGTTCACTCTCCTGTGATTAAATTACAACTATGTTTACAGAGTTGTATATCAACCCTTAGGCTGTGATTTTATGAAACAGGGTGAAGGAGGCAGTTCAAGCACTTTGTGCTGTTTTTCACACCGTATGGTATGCAAGACATCCACTGATCTTTCATGACATGGTATCTACAAGAAACCCATTCCCTGCTGGGGAGGCATCTCTGAGCCCAGTGTTTACATGTCTGAAAATCTTTTGAGCTGGTGTCATATCACACTCTTACTAGAGAGAAAAGGTCCTGCTGCCTTGGCCTATACCCCTTCCCTACTCCTGGCCATGTGGTCCCACAGTTTATTTCATGCCAGCTCTAACAACCTACTGAATTTCTGTGTCCATGTAACTCATTAAAACAGAGGACATAAAACACTGTGCAAAACCTGTGCAGTTTTCTGCCAGGTTGATAAAGTAAATTGAGACAGAGCAGGATTGCAAAGTGTTCTAGAAGCAGGACAACGGAGAGGGCAGGCCATGCTGACTTTCTGCAATAGGGTGAGGAAGGTGGGGAAAGAGGAAGGAGGGAAAAGGAGAAATAGGAAGGAGGGAGCGAAACCTCTTCCTTTTGGCAGCAGCAAGATGTTATGTTTGTTCCACTTTCTGTGAAAGTTCAGTCTTCTGTAAGCAGAGGGCTCAAAATAACTGAGACTCTGCTCAGACAGGAAAACACTAAAAACATACCCTTCACTGTTTCTTGCTGCAAAGTCCTGCTACCTCAGGTAGCCATATCCCTGGAGAAGGGCAGGAAGTACCTGATGCTATGAGAAGACTTTGATCACTGACACTGACTTTATGAGCCCTTCTGTTTATGTCTTGACTTAATAAGAAATGTGCAAAGGGAGTTATATAGAATCTGGAGGCAGACATTATAATCATTCACCCATCCAGTAAAAACTTAAGATATACGCATCATAAAGTGCATTCAACTGTTTTGATAAGATATATAGATATTCCTTGATGGAATGGAACTGCTATAACGGAAATATTTGCACAATACATAATAAACATTACGTTTTGAAAATGAATGCCAGAAAGATGTTTCTGGCACAGATAACTGTGTATGATATTAGGCCAGTGGCATCACTGTTAATGGCTAATAACAAGTTATACATATTTCTTGTCTCTGATTTCTTCACTGTAGGTTTGGGGTTTTTTCCCTCCTTGAAGTAAGTAATAATAGTGCTTTAGTTTCTATTTAAAAATAATAAAAGTTTGGAAAGATGCAAGATTTATTAACTTCAGTTTTTGAATTTCCGAGGAAAATCACAAGTGCCTATGATCCTTAGGTGAATGATAGGCAGTAAATAAAACTTTTGCACTCTTTACTGCATCCTGAAAAAACTTACAGTTTTTGGAATAAAAATAAAAATTAAATGTTATACATCTGTTCTTTCCTCTGAATATCACAAAGACATAGCAATAACTTGTTAACCTTTCCTTATTCAAGGATGATACCAGACATAAAAATAAAAATTGGGAAGATAGAGGCTTATTGAAAGAAAATACTGCTCTGAAGAATGTATTCTATTAATGGCTTACATGTAGATACTTCAGATAAAGCTTCAGTATAATCATAAGGAAAAACTTGTATAGTAAATATATGAAAGCAAACATCCATTTCTGAAAGTCAGTGGTATAGTAGATAGAAAAAAGTACCCAAAGCTAGTTAGTTTGTGTGTGGTGCCATTTGTCCTGTAAAACAAATTTTCTGTGAAAACAAATTAGATAAACCTGAGGCCTCACTTACTTGGAATTAGATAGTATTAGTTTGCAACCTTTTACCAATGCAGGCATGAGAGATTTTTGAAAGTAAAAGTAAAACTTAAAATCACATGAGAAATTACATTTGCTTGATTCCAATTAGGACAACAAATGAAACAGAATTGCATAGCTATCCACTATGAAAAACAGCATATCATGCTAAAATGTAACCTTATTGAAAGTAAACTTCTAAACTAGTCATGCTACAAGTAACCATTGAGATAGTCTTATATTAGACAAATGTCTCAGATATTTATCATACCAAATCATTAATTTTTTTGTTTTGTTTTGTTTTGTTTTGTTTTTTTTTAATTTGAGGTTGAACACTTTTCGCATATAACATTAAACAGTTTTTAATCAATTTTGCATATGGTAGGTAGCAGTAACCACATTTTGTGAGTGGCCTTTTGTAACCACTGTGTTTTAGCTGCGCCAATTTCTAGATCTTGAGTAATCTGAAGTAGAAAATAGGTACCAGGTTAGTTAGGAAGAGGCCATTCTGGAAAAGGGTAAACTTTTCACATATTGGAAACTTTAAAGTTAAAATGTCACTTGGAAACTCCAAGGTCAGATTTTCTTTAATCCTAAAAAGTTTAGGGTTTTGTATCATAATCTGAGATTTAACACTTCTACCTTAGACCTTCTTCAGGTGCAGGTTTCAGTTTTGAGACATTCATGAATATTACCAGGAGTGAGGTTTTTTTGTACTGGCAAGAGTTGTATTGGAAAGTCCATCTATACCTACTAGAAAAAAAATCCTTATTCTGTGATCGTTTCCTCACTGACAGATGTTTTTGAGGGCTGTCAGTTGACCATTCCTTAACCCACCCAGTGTGGGTTGTCCTGATATTTTGTAGTGGTCATTATTAAATCAGCTCAGCTTCCTTACAGCAGATTACAGATTGCTCTCTGAACAATATATGACTGTGTATCTGAATGTATAAGGTGTGTGTGTGTGGGGCGTATGTAGAAACAAGGCAGTGAACTGATGATGGTTCAGAAAGGAAGAAGAGTCTGAAAAAGAGCCCTGCTTCTAAACATCTGAAAAAAACCTGGTTGCTTCGTGTGGTGCATCTCAGCCAGCCCACCGCCGGCGCGGAGCCAGCACTGCAGCTGAGCGGCAGCGCTGCAAGATCTGCAGCAAGCTCCCAGAACTGCCCGGCGTCCCTCCAGAATTTTGACTTTTTGAATAGGATTACACTAACTGAACTTAAGTAAAAACCACCTGCTATAAACAACTGATGGGTTTTATTAGGGGGGAAAACCCCACAGCCAGCAGCAGTTCTTTTATACATAAATGCTGCTAATATGGGGAGAACAGAACACTTTGAATTTCAAGGGCTTCTTGTGCCTCAACTACTTGACTAAGAGTCTAGTTTTCATAACAGAAAAACTTTACCTACTCACATTCATCTCTCCTACTTTCTCGAAAAGTTAGTGCTTCAAAAGAAGGATTTTATGATGATAATAATAAAAAAGTCCTCCCACATTATAATGTGTAAAAAATTATATCCTTTCCACCTCTAACTTGCTTTTAAAAACAGTTTTGCCTGGAATTTTCCATAAAAAAGAGTTTTTTACAAGACAGGTATTTATAAGATATTTGGTTATATAAAAGTCTGAATATGTGACATTTCATAAATTTTGACACATTCTTCTAATTCTAGTGATATATACCTCAAAGACATTTGTTTTAAAGCAATAAATGTATTCATTTTTCCTCAGTGAGAAATGTACAAAAGACTCTTTGAAGTAATATAGGCTTCAAATTTAGAGTTACTTATTATAGGATTTAATGTGGAATAACTTTTGAGATAATCAACTAACATTTACTGTCTTCTAGAGAAAATGATAAATAAGTGGTTCAAGTGACTTACACTGATGATGTAAAAGACATTTTGTGCATTTACATCTTATTTTTGAAATAAAATGGAAGGTGATATGGCACATGGAATTACAGAACTAGTCAAAGGTAATTTGTTTCCTCAGTTTTGGCTATTTCATTGCTGTTTTTTTTTTGTTTTGGTTTTTTTTTTTTTTTGTTTGTTTTTTTTTTTTTAACCAGGCAGATTTCTTTTCTTTACTTGTTAAAGTTTATTTACTGTATTGACCATGCTAATTTAATGAGATTTCTATTTGTCATCTGTACTTTTTTTTAAATCTACAAGGACCAGGTTTTTGAAGCTTCAAATCGAGCATCAGATTTGTGAAGACAGTGAGAGTATGGATGTAAATGATCTCTGTATTGTTCAGGATCCTTCTTCTAAAACTCTAGGTGCTTATACTGAATTACAACACATTCTGCCTAACGTCATCTGCTTTGACCACAAAAGCGAAATAGCATACCTACCTCAGCTATGAAAACATGGTATTCCCTTCCTTTGGGATTGGACCAGATATTGCCCAATAGGTGCTTCTGGGTGCCTTTGTTCAGTAAATTTATATTCTTATTCAGATATCTTTTTTTTTTTTTTTTTTTTCCCCCCGAAACAAATTTGTAAGGCTTTTCTTGCCCAAGAGAAATTTCCTCACAGTTGCTGAAACTTCCTTGTTTCACACATTCTCAGCATGTTTCTGACTTCCCGCACGAATTCATGCATGGGCTGCTGGTAGCTTCATCCCATGAATCAATTTATGGAGACTGGATATTTCCTGAAAAACAAATTGATTGTGCTTTCCACATTGTGCTGGCTTAGCCTCATGAGCTACAGTACTTGCTAAAATTCAAACTGCCTTTTTACTCTCAGCTCATACCTTATGTTTGTAACCCTGAGGTGTGCTGGCCACAGGAAGCACAATGTAATTTGTGCCTCCCCTACCTCTGCCACAGGGCACACAGGCTCATGCCTGATCTTCACACAAGGTAAAAAAACCTCTGAAGGTTTCCTGTGTTCTCAATAATTTGCCCCAATATCGTTTCTCTACAGATTGCAATCAACTTGCTTCCTCATTTTCGTTATACAATTATTTTGAATGAACTACTTCTGAGTACAAATATCTGGTCACTGAAAGCAGAAAGACACTTATTTCCATCTCCTCCAGCACTGATACTGCAAGTTGGAGGGAAACTGTATTGATTTAATTTTTAAAGAACTCCAGAAAGGGATTGAGTTGGTTTGTTTTATTTTGTTTTGTTTTGTTTTCCTCTCCTTGTGAAATTTATTATCCTTTTTGGGAACCATGGTTCTTTCACTGTTTCGAGGAGAAAGTCTACCTCTTTTGCTCACTAATTGTCAATAATTTGAAATGTAGGTGTGATGAGATGTGGTTGCCTAAATTCAGTTAACTCTTCCATGTTGAAGTAGACCTCAGAATAAAACATTAAAACATGGAAATGGAAAACTAGAGCAGACAGTTACAAATATAAGGAAGGTGATGATTATAAGAAACTGGCTAATGTTTTGTTCACAGCTTGATGCAGTGAAATTATTAAGAAACTGCTACATTATGGAACAACTATTTGACTACAACTTTTACTAGCCAGGCTTATACCATATCCCCACTAGGCCAAGGACAATGGAGCATCATAAATCTTAACAGCTGTGTCTTGGGCAAAGCATGAGCAAAAGAGAAGAAATAGCTCTTGCCTTTCTGTGCAGGTACCAACACTTAATAGCATATGTCTCTGGATACTTGTTATGCAGAAGATATGGACATTTCCAGTTATCTTTCCCAAGATGATAAAATAAAAAGGTAAGAGGCTATAGAAGAGGATATTTGATGTTGTCAGTCTTCCATTAACACTTGATTCAATCAGGTGAATAATACTTTAACCTGATTTCACTTTGACTCTCTTCTGTTCCACATTCCAGTGACAAGGCTTTTTTTCTTTTTCAGAAGTAGATGATCTGATGCCATCTGGTGTGCTGTGGTAGAGCAGGTCATAACCAATCAAAGTGTGCTTAATGAAAGCAAAAATAAAAAGAAGGATTATTTACTTACTGGAGAAAGACCCTTTTCTAATTTTAAAGGTAATAAATAACAGTCTGAAATCCTTTTTGTACTCTTTCTTCCCTTTGTGTAGATAATTTTTCAATACAGGAGGGTCTAGGAGATTTTATTTTAGTCCCATCAGATTGTCAGTGCCACAAAAAAAGTTTTTAATCAGCACTGATTGCAGGGAAGAGACCTGTCTGCTCAATCATGAGGCATGGATCAGCTCAGGATCTATACATACTACAAGATGTGAATAGAAAGGCATTTACTTGACAGCTCCTTTTCCAAGGCTAAATTGCCAATAGCTGCAGTGCTCTGTAAAGGTACTAGGGAGTTTAAGAGTCTCTTTCACACACATGAACACCCACACCCAGACACACACCCACATATTCTTCATTTTCCTTTCCCTCCAGTGTCTTTGGACAAAATTGGTCATTCTTCCTGATAGAAAAAAAGGAAAGTCTGGCTGTGACTTCAGTTTGCATTTAATGGTTCCAGCATACCTGGGCTGATATAATTTGTGGCCTACATTTAAAAAATTTAAGGTTCGATATGTTGTGTATCTGTCAACTCACTTTAACTCTTCTTTCTTCTGAGCTATGTGATGGTGGCTTTGTTAAGACTCTTGGATCTGAGGTATAGGGCACTAGTGTTACATATAGAAAAGATGCAGATCTTTGTGAAAGATAGCAGAAGTGGAGCTAAGAAGTTTCTGTTTAATAATTTACCTGGAATTTTATGTTATGCTAGTTTATAACCTTACTTTTAATGTAAACAATGATTTCAAAGAAAGTGGTATTTTAAAGTTGTGCTACAATGATTCATGGATTTATATGTGTAGTTTCTGAACCTTTAGTTATTGAAAACTTTAAAGGACTTTAAATTGAAAAGAAACACTGCACACTGAACTACTCTTGTCTCCAGATTACTTTTGGTGAGTAATATATGAGAAAACCCTGGCTACATTTCTTTGAAATGACATGATTATCAATAGTTAGTACTCCCTATGCTTCATAAGCGTCAAAAGCACCAAAAAACCTATTTAAAATATGAACTTATACTTACTTTTATATTGTCATATTAGTCTCTGCAAACACAGATATACTATATGATCCGAGAATCTGATCAAAGACTAGTGAGGCAAATGGGGTGTTTCCCATACAACAGAGATAAGAGAACTCAAGTTTCCAACTAATCTTATAATTACCTGTGTCATTTTCTGGGTAATATAATGCTATCTAACAATACACCCCTTCTGAAAGTGCAAAGGGAGCTCCTGAAATACATGTCACCCCTGACTGATCACAAGCTCCATTTACTGTTAAATCAACTAATATTTGTGTTGGTTATCTTGCTCCTCTCCTGTACAAATGCTGACATTTTTCATAAGCAAGGAAAAGATTTAGGGACATCAACTCATATCAGTGTAAACTGGGACATTGTAATAGCTTTCCTCAAATGAGATGGACTCCACGTACTTCACCTGTTAACTTACTCGATCCCACATTAAAAGACCAGAAGACGATCTAATTGTTAATGACTTTGTGAGAGTGGCAGAGAAATAAAATTACTTGGAAAAGGGCATGCTCTCCTTTGTATGCCTTTCTCCTTTTATTTTTTTTTTTTCAATATATTAATGCTATCACCAAAATGGTGAAATAAATTTTTCTCATTTACCATGACTTAAAGGTCATTGCTAAGGTTAGTTCAGAAACACAGAGGAAAGGTATCCAAAGTCGAAGGAAACCATGAGATTTAACATTGTAACTAACACTGAGAGCTCTGAGGAAAAGTTTCCTTAAATAATGGCTAGCCAGTTTGCAGCTCTACTGTAGCAGGAACAGGTGTATGTTGGATGGTAGTGGGAAATACTTAAAACTTCTTACTGTTGCAGTGACTGCTGCTTGCCATTACTCCCTATTTGCAGTCTGCAAAACAGGATATTTCAAGAAGATGGAGTGAATGTTAGAAGATATATGCCTCCATCGTGGCATCTGTGGGGGGAGTTCAACACATTGTATTTTTAGTCCTGAAGAGGAAGAGATGACTGTAGGGGCACAGAGGAGAATGAATATCAATTGAGAAAAGTTACTTTATTAGCAGTTCTTCAGTATAACAGAAAAGTAAAATTAATGAATTAAGAAGAAAAGGCATTGACAGTCCCTTAAGGGGTACAGATGCTTGTGTGAATGAGTCATATCACTTAGGGGAGCAGGAGTCTGGATGTACATTAATTCTCTTTATCTTTACACAAAGAAGGGATAAAATGCAAAAGGGAGATTATTCTGCAGAGGTAAAAAGAATACCAGAACCCACAGGACTGCATATATTTTTTTTTCAGAAAGGACAGTTTAGAGGAAAAATTGCTACCATCTAGTTGTTCTTTTTCTTTTATTATGCTACTTTATGGAAATATAAGTGAGCAGCATAGCCTGCAAATTTAGTGTCATAAATAGTGTGAAGATTTAGAGTTGGAGATAACCTTGTTATCTTGCTCTGTCTTCCTGTGCTCATTTCAAATCTCATTAAAATGTGTCATGACTAGGGAAGAAAAAAGTCCTGTTTATACCTAGTTCTGTTTTCATCATTTTAAATTCACTTTTATGCTTCTCCTTCATTTGCCTGCTCTCTTCTTGTTGTTCTTGTACTTACAGAGTGCTGTATCTTTAGCCTGTTAGAGGACTGATGAGAGGGAAAGCGAGCAAACTGCACTTCTGTGGGCATCTTACAGGCCACGCAGTGGCTGGAGCATCCAGAAATCCCCTGCCATGTAGCGGGGTAACACACACGTCTCTGCTTTTGACCTGGGTTTGCCTTTCGCTTTGGCTCACGCACAGGCTATCCCCTAAAAATCAGGGCTTTGGCCCACGCCTGTGCCTGTCACGTAATGATAATTCACATCCACCGCAGGGGCTGCGCGGACCCGGCCCAGGCAGAGGTGGGGGGCTGTGGCCCAGGCTCCTTCTGAGTTTATGCTTTTTGGAGATGGCAGTGAAAAAAAATGAGTCATGGATGCAACACCAGAGCGAGCTGTGAACGCTGCTGCAGGAGGGCTAGGTTGTGTTAGCAACTGACTACATTTTTTCTGTGCCTTGGTACAAAGAAGAGAGGGGAAAAGAAGAATACTGCCTTCCATTTATATCTTAATGGAAGGTGTTTTATGTTTCAAATCTCCTTCAGAAAATTTCAAGGGAGTGATACTACATTTTGCGTTAGCTGATTTGGGTTTTACACTTGAAGTCCTGTGAGTGCTAAATTGCCTGCATGTTTAATCCATGCAGTACTGTGTTCATTACAAAGAATATAAAGAGGAGGAGGTATTCTCGTGTACGGATATATACTGATTTTTAGTTCACAGGATGATTTGAAACCTGTGATCATTCTAAGAATGCACTTTTGGAGGTAAAAATAGCTGTTCTTTTCTTTCAGTAGCAGGATACTACAAATCAAACACGGGATTTAATTTATATTTTTCTCTTTAGACTTTCCCTAATGCTTGTTGCAATGAACTGTTTTATGCCCTTTGACTTTAGCAGCAGGACACCGAAGCCTGCAGATCGCTTGTCTGTCTGGCTAGATCATTCTGTTCTATTGCTGCCCTTGTCCTTTCATACAGTATATTCTCAAAGTGCTGGTATCTATTCTATTTTTAGTATATGAAGCCTATGATAGATGGTCAAGGCCATCTGATTCCACAGCCTCTCTCCAATTGGGTGACATTTTGTTCTGATCTGAAAGAATTTGACTGATTCTGGAAAAAACTTATTCCTGCTGCTGCTTGTGGGGCAGGTGCGCCCGCCTGATGAAAATGTGGCTTCCCCGCTGTTGAACTTTTTCCTGTGCCCTTGTTCTCAGGGCTTTGCAGTAATTGGGGCCCTCAGCCCATAGGGGCGGATACTGACCACAGGTCAGATCTGGCTTCAGTGTAAATGGAGTCCCCTGGGGGAGCAGTTTTGAGCTGGTCCCTCCTGGAGTGGTTGCTCTGTGGGTAAGGACTCTCCCCTTGGGCTGGGACGCCGCCCAAGGAAACACCTTGTGGTTTCTATGGATTGAGATGTTGCCCTAAGATGTTCCTTGAGGTTGAGAGTCGTTATTTTTTTTTAGGTGAGTGACTGAATGTTTTCAGCTGTCGTTAAACCCTAGGAGTTTGTGTGGTAATAGTTTTGTTCTCCTCTTATGGACATTTGAACCTGCTGTTTGTATGTTTGCAGAGTGCTGGTTAATTGTATTGAAAAATAAATTTTGTTTTGATTGTTATTTGTTTATTTGAGAGCTTCAGCCACAGCCTGCAGGCACATTATTGGAACCTGCTGCCTCAAAAATTAGGAGACACCCAAGTAAGGTGAGCAAACCCCAACTAAAGTCTCTCTTCCCAAACTCAGGGACAAAGACAATGGGGTGGGGGGTGGGAAACAAACATCTTTGCAGTGGAGAAGAGGCAGGTAAAGAACAGATGACCTCTAACTGCCCAGTCCTCTCTGGTCTTTACAACTCAAAAACCATCCCCGAAAATGCTGCTCAGACACTCGTTTCTTTCCCTGGTCTCAACGTCACCAGTCAAAACAGCCCTATGGCACTCTGTTCACTGCCAAATGTTCCTGTCCATTTCACTTTCAGCTGCCTCTGGAAATGTTTAATGTGGCACTGCAAAATGACTGGTTAAAAAATTCAACAGCATTATTTACTATGGTACTTTGATGTTTTATTGAATGAAACCATCTGCTCAGGAATGTTTCCCAACGTTGTGGGCTAGATCTAGAATTTACAAACGCAATATAGCTTGTCTGACGGAGTTTCACAGCAGAAATGCCACCCAGTGTATCACAAATATGTGAGGCTCTGGGTAGGAAGAATATTGAGAAAGCTCCTATTTCCTACTCTCCCATAAACAGAGTCAACTTGTTTCTTGATGGTAAAGAATTAAAATAGCTGCAATTTTTTTCTCTCTCCAGTCTGATAGTTATGCTGTATGTGCTCTGTAAACTTGTGATTGAAGGTATTTCCTAATGGCTTCAGTGGCTCACAGGACATCAAGTGTATATTTGTGGTTAATGGCAAAATGCACTGTAGACAGTTTTACGGGCATCCTATGAAGACACCAGTAGCAGACAGAAGATGTAACAAAGTGGTATTTCATTAACCTTTTATTTTATACTGAAAAAAAATGGGAGTTTTATAATGAGAAGAATAAATTCTGGCCTCTTCTTCAGCTTCTGAATTACCTGTTGCTTTGAGGTGAAACAGGAAGCAGTTGCTGATAGAAATCACCTCTTAGGTTTATTCTGATGGGTTTGGAATTTTAGGGATGTATTTTAGGGATACGTTTCAGCTCAGATATGAACATAATTAGCTAAATGACATAAATAATCAACATTTTCCTTGATCTTTGGTTGCAGGCTGGGCCTTCCTCATCAAAGTGTTCTAAATGCTTCACTGACATTTGCTTGGACTTGCAAGAGTAAGGAGAAACTTTGAGCTGGAGAGATTAAAGGATGTTTTAGTTATCCTTTTACTTTGTCTCCAAACAAGACTTTTAGTGAGTAGTCTGAAAAGATGTTTTTTAAGGATTTATATAGTTTTTTTTTTTTTCTGATTATGCTCAAGTTGAAGTATTCTGCATTATGTGCAATAAGATGGACATAGGCTCAAAGACTTCTACTGTTCAGAAATGCCTGTGTACTTGAGACAAATATTTACAGGTTGTGATACAGAAAACTCCTTTGACCCAAGTCCTCTGCCTACCTATCTGACCATGAATACCTTAACCACAGAATGTTTTTCCTGCTGAGTCACAGTATCTTAGTAGATTAGTAAAACCAATGTCATGCTGTGTGAGTTGGCAGTATTTAGCTGATACATAATACAGTCACATACCTAATGCTGTAGCCTAATGCTGTAGCTGCAAAGCTAACTAGATAAAACTGTATTGGAATAGAAGATGATGTGGGTATTCCCTTGAAACTGGTCTATAAAAGAACAGTATGATGGTATATTGATGTGCAGGCAATGCAATTACTATTCCCAGGTAAAGGCTCTACCTGCTATTCAAAAACCCAAATGACCAAGCAAGGCCCAAACAGCTTTGTACTGTGCCTTTTCTGCAAGTTGGATATGCCCATGTAAACATTAGCGGGGATTCTGTAGGGCAAAGGAAAACTTAGTAATTGCATTTTTTTTTTTTTTTCTGAATTTGTTTCTGAACAGAATTGTTCAAAAATTCAGCCTCAGTCCACATGCAGCATAACCCCTGAGTTTCTCCCAGCTACAGAGCAAGGTTATGGAGAAGACTGATTACCTACAGAGAGGAAGCCAGAGGTGGTAGCAGCATTAAAATTTAGGCTGGACTCCCACTCAGAGCAGCGATGATTTTGAAATCACAGTTGGGTGGTTCAGGGCTCCTCTTCTACAGTTTGAAAATTTCCAGGGATGATGCTGTGCAGTCACGGTGTCTGTGGCACCCAGAGGCCCCGCAGTTTCCCTCCCATCTCCCCCACCCCTCCGTAATATAGCACCAAGGTGACTTTCTGGGACACAGACCCCAGAACCTGTGACATGTTAAGATGTATCAATTTACTGAATTTACTGTACTGAATACAATGAGAATTTAGCAGCAATATTACATCAAGAAGCTCTTGCACGTTTTTATCCCACCCATATATCCCACCTTTCATCCCACCGCCTTACCTCCGCAAGCCACCCCATCAGTAGTGCCAATACAACAGTCCGTGGCACTGCAGTGTGATTTGGGTCCAGTATGCTGGAAACACTCCTTGGGCCAGGTCAGTTCACACTTGTGGTGTCATACGGGTGCCGAATGGTTTGTGGTAAATATAAAATGAGATGGAGCGGGAAACCAAATAAATCTTATTGTAGATTTAGGTTATTCACAATATTTTAAGAAATTAAATTAATATAAATTCAGCTTTAGGAGGTCTTTTTAATGTCTTAATTCCAAAGAGGTGTGGACTTTTTGTCAGCTTTGTTTTAGAATATGTCCTAAGTAGCAAGTCCTATTTTTAAATCCCTTCTAAACTAGTTTTTAAGTTGGTGGGTTTGATATATTTTACTTTTGCCTTGATTTTGCCTTTCTATCTTGGGAATGTGAACAAGAACAAGATCATACAGTCAAACCTACTTGTCTGCTTCCTCGGGCTGAGATTTCTCATAATGTTAACATGGTTCAGAAGTGGAGCTCTCAGGAGAATGTGTGTTAAATGCTTTAGCAAACCTGAACTTCTGCCCATGATTATCTGCCGCCAGTTTCAATTTTAGTTTTGTTTTAACCTTCTCGTTGGTTTTAAAGAAAAGCATCCTACATGGTAGTGATGCCAATGTTTAGGACATGGGATATTAATGTAAACAAAGTATCTACAAGGCAGTAGAGTATGCACTATATAGTGTACTTTTTTTGATACGTTAACAAGAACACTATGCAAAGGTCATGTTCAAAAGCAATTTATAAACCAACAGAACAAATATTGTTTCTGCAATCATTTTAGGATGTATTAAACGAACTGGTTAATAAAAATAGAATAGTAGGTATGATATTTTCAGGCAAGTGTGAAGCTGAAAGCATTCCTTTAAACTATGCTAAACATAATTCAGAAGCAATTGAAAACTAAATGAAGATATTTACTTTAATAGAGAAAACATTGAAAAAAGAGTTTGATTGTATGTGTATATATACAGAAGAAACATTTCAGTCAAAATATATCTATACAGATGTGAATTTGAGTGCCCATTACTAACAGACGTAGGAGCACTTAAGTCTTTAATCAAAACAACTAGACATGATTATCTCACTCTCTGGAATATAAGACTTGGTCTACAGTGCCTAACACATTTGAATCTTTGGGTTTGAGCACTCTGGTTTTGTATTTTTAAATGGAGATACTGGAAACCTTTTCTTATATTTTAACGGATTTTAGGGAAATAATTTATATTTGTTTACCTTGGAATACAAACAACTTCTCACTTAAATAACAAAATCTATTTATGAATGAAAATAATATTAAATATTAATGATAAGCCAGAACTACATCTGTTTTAGTTAAATATATATTTATTTTATGAAACTATAGTAAAAAAATATGTCACCTTGGCTCAATTATGAAATATGAATATATTTGTAAATTGTGTTCACATAGCAATCAAATTATTATTTTTTTTTATTTAATGCATTAATGATGATTGCCTACTTATTTAAAAATATTACCACCTAGAATTTGCTTTAAAAAGCAATAATATTATATGAGACCTGCTACAGTAGGAAACAGCATCAAACATTATGTGTATTTATATACTTATTTTATACATTAAGGATTCTGTAACATTTGTGAAATATTCATTTACTGTCTACTCACCTATCTCATATTGCTTTTAGTATTCAATTGTTGGTCATAAGCTGTTAGGATCTGAAGGAAAGATAGTCTAAAAAAATATAGAATGAGCAGAAATGAACGTATGTATTAACTTTCTACCTGCAGTAAGATTAATATCCTGTCAGCTGAGCTGAACTGTTAATCGTTTATGAAATAAAGGGAAATTGTGGAACATTTTTTCAATATTGTGAAAAACATTAGAAGTTAAAAAATTGAATTAACATTCCAATTTCACTATTCAAGAATTTCAGGGGAAAAAAAAAATAAAAGAAGATATTTCCAAGCAAACCCCTTGTTACCTTTTTATTTTTATTCTTTGGAGACTACTTTGTCGGGGAGGGGTATGGTATCATTACCAATAGCCCTAAAGCCAATTAGTAAACTCTGAAAACATCCCATCTTTTCTATAGGCAAGCTCTTTAGGTAACCCTCTGTAGCAGAAATGTCCTTTGAACTTATGAATGAGACAACTTGGTTGACTTCAGGTTGTATCTATCTCACAAAGCAGTGCAGGAAGAAGTACCTGTTCACATGTTTTCCCCCAAAGTCCAATGGTTAGATTACTCATCTAGTATAGATTAGGTTATATTTTAATATCTCACATGTCTGATGAGATAGATCTGTAGCTATCATTTCTCAATAGTTTACTTAAATCACAACTTTGGTGTGATTACAGAGACATAGGGCAAAGTCTCGATTCCCCAAAACTGCTCTGATTTGCAAATGAATAATTGAAGATTCATGGAACCAGTGAGAGGTTGACTTTTTAATCTACTAATTAGGGAATGCACTTGAGGATCGGAGATCCTCATTTCAGTTCCAAAGTTAATATTGTAAATTTATGTAAATTTTAATGATTTTATGAAGGAGGAACTTGAATCCAGCTTTTTCTTCTCAGGTGATTAGTGCTTTTTACTCTTGGTGGCTATTTAATTATACCTTGAAAAGCATAACAGCATCATCAGAAGAGATGAAGAGAGGATTTTTGAATGTTCTCTAACCCAATGACTAAGCTTTTCTGTAGGATATGTAATAAATAAATATTTGAGATGCTTAGAGAAAGAACGTAGTTATCTCATTCCCAACCACTTTTTGTCAGGGGCTTGGTCTTTCAGGTGTGCTGACAAAACTCTAACATTGACCTGTAGCAAATTTGAGCCTCGCTGGAAAGTAAATTCTTAGTTTTCATGTTGACTGATTATGATTTTTGCAAGAAAAGTAAAAAGCAGTCTTTTTGTTCCAACTCCAAATGGTTTCATCAGTGCTGTTAGCACTTGGAAGATGGCAGCTGAATCAAAAGAGGATGGCTGCAAAATTCTGGAGATGAAGCAAGCTCTGTATTAATGAAAAGATATCTCTAGTGAGCAACATTTATGCTTTGTTACAGAAATACTTATTTTCAGTTCAGCAAAGAACACATGGTGATCACGCCAGAGACAACTCCTGACTACTCCTACCAGGTGCAGGGACAGATGGACCGTGGGAAGGCAGAATGACATGACTCCTATTATTTTTTTTTTTTTTTTTCATGTTGAATTGTCAGCTGTCCCATGTAGCAAAAGATTTTAAGCCATGCTGTGCTGTAGAGAAGACCAATACTATCAAAACGGAGTTGCAGACAATACTTTATATACAAAACGAGAAACTAACATTTAGATAGCTGTAGCAGGGCTGGTTGTGGCTCCATAAATGGGAAGGCTCAGCTCCCTCTCATCGTTCGGACATCAATAACTGTTTCTTAGGACTATGTTAACATATCAGTCTGAGATGTGTTATACAAGCATCTAAAATAATATTTCATTTTTATATATTAAAAAAAATATATTTTATGGGCATGGGAGAGTCTCATGAAAAAAGTTACCCATAATTACTTAATATAGCTTAACATTTTAATATCTCATTCAAACTAGTGTAAAAATACATCTTCCTCAATTTATAAATTAGCCGACTCCCAAATCTTTCTACCACGTCACTATTCAGAGGATGCTGCTTTTTATAATTATTTTTTCACAGAAACTCATTGTTCCCATGGTTTTACTGTTTAAAACTTAATTATGTCAGAAACTAATAATCATGAGATGGAGATTAGAGAATGCATTCTACGAATGTGAGAAACACATCTGACTGCATTATAGCACCTCTGCATGAATACATTTATTTCCCTTGACTACAGTGCCATCACAGCTTTATTGAGCTTCACTGTAACCTGTACACAAGCAACTACTTTTAAGTAAGTTCAGATATGGGTACGCGGTACTGGAAGGTACACACAGACTTACCATGCACTGGATTCTCTGCTGGTGTCTTGGCAGTTGGAGACATGATCACAGCCACGGTAGCTGCAGCCTTACAGAGAACAGCGTTGTTAGGAGGATCCTAACAATTGTCCTCTTTCATGAAATCAGTGTGAAGACTCGGTCGGAAACAGCAGAATGGTATGGCTGCAGCTTATCTCAATTCAGAAAGTGTTTTGTAATGCCAGATCTATCTAAGTATATGTTTATATGTAAATCTGAAACTATTAAGAGCAAATTTAGTAATTTAAAGTGTTCATCTAGCTCTTTATCTCAGTAATACTCTACATTTTTTTCCCTTTATTGATTATTTGGCTTTGTGATGAAAAGGATTTCACATTAAAATGCCATTGCAAATAGTCATCAGATTCTAATAATCTGAGGAAATATGACTTTTTCCTTCAAAGTCCATTTCAGAAAATATTGTTGTGGTTCTCTAATGTAGGTAAGATTCAAATAGAACTGATAGTGCTGAACACAGTGTATGGGAATAATAAGCAAGGTAGTGTAATCACTGCCTAATAATGAGCTAATATAATCATATGATGACTTAAGAAATTTACATGCTTGGAATGTGAAACAATATAGATTTGAACATGCTAGGCAAGTGGAATGGTGTTCTGGATAATTCTTCATGTATACATGGGTAAACACTTGTTGTAAATTATATCTGCTTATGTCTGTTTATATTTTGTTGATAGATCACATTCTTGGCAAAGAAGAAATAAAATTTCTTTTGCCTTTGTTATTGTTTCTTTAATAACCAGATGCATAATCTTTCAACACTGTTAGTGTTCTAGTCAGACCAGACAGACATTTCTATTTCACATTTCTAACAATTAGAAATTTTGTAAAAAATCCTGACATTTTCTATAGAAGTGTTCATACCTTATGTATACAATTCCTATATTTTGTAGTTGTGTATATTGCCTATAAACTGCTTTAAAGCATGAAGATGCAACTGTTTTCTTTTATTACAATCATATGATTTTCTCTTATGTCTTAGAACAATGTTGCACATGACTTTGATGAAGATGGTTTGGAAAGGATGCTTTGGAAATGATCATAGTTCCCTTCTGCACAAGGATAGGCTTTGGCTGTCAGGGTAGAGATTCATGGCAATTATTTTATAATTCCTGAACTATGAAAGTCTGTAATCATGCAGACTCCCTCAGCTGTGAACTAAATGTTGTAAGAAAGGTAGTCAGAATTTAGAGTGATGTGAAAAGAAATAGTGTTTCATCTGAGAAAATATAAAGTACTCAACAAGACCATATACAGTACTGATTGCACTGCAGTTGTGACCATTTAAAAGTGATGGGCTTTTGTTTGTATCTTTCATGATTCCTCTTCTGCCTCTGTGCTAGATGAAAAGACTTGAAAGAATCTAGTTTGACAAAGCTTTATACAACCTGGAAATATCTCTGTCTTTAATTTACTGCCAACCTATCCTTAGGTCATTTTCTAATACCCACTAAGACGCTTTTGGGTTTTAGCTTATTGCATCTGAATTTAGTGTACATGCAAATGTAGAGCTAGGTTCCCTACCTAGTCAAACTACAGTCAAACACAGTCAAACTACAGTAATATTTTCTTTAAAATTACTCTTCCAACTACTCTGCTTGCCAACATATTATTGTGGTATTGCAAGCAAGAGACAGAAAGGCTGACAAATCATTACTTCTTGAGTCTCTGCGGTCCACGAGGTGGAATCAGTTGTAAATTCATTGGTTTACTCACCTGTAACTCAGTTCCTGCTTGTCTGTAACTATTATGCTACTAAAGATTAGGTAACTATTTAACTGTAGTGTCAGGTTCTGGCCTAAAATTTCGATGGGGTTTGTGCAACCTGTGTTTTTAAAGTATCACAGGGCTGCAAGAGCTACATGAGCTGAAACTGCCACTTACATTGAATTGTTTGTGGTTATTACAATGTATTGTTTAAATGTAGAAAGACAAGTGTATTTCTGGAGATGGAAGTCTATCTGTACACAGCTGAGACATAGAAAGGATTCTTTAATTCAGAAGATCACAAAATGAAGACAGGAAACAATTTTCTTACCAATCATCCACAACATCTGCAGAAGTTAAAGTCTCTGATACAATTTCTGATAGTGTGAAATTTTAAATATGATACGGCTTTAAAAAAAAAAAAAAAAAACCAAACTATTTTTTACTTTCAAGATATGAGTTATTCCATGAATATTCTCTGCAGTGCTTTGCATCTATGAGCTAGGCATATGACTCCAAGGCAGGGGTGATTCACAGATCCTGCAGAACAAAATGGCAGAGTTAAACATCTGAGAATGAGAATCTGTGTGATTACAAGAGTATGATCACATGTACGCCAGACAATACATGTTCATGAAATGAGTGTGTGTCAAATGCCACATCTTTTTGCAATATGAAGATCCCAAATGAGGCATTTGGGACTGCCTTATGGGAGCACCCACGTAAGTCTGTTCTCTAAGGCAGTGATTCCTGAATAGTGACTGTGCCTGTAATCAGGGGTCACGATGTTTGCTTTAGCAATAGAGTTGATAGCTACTTTAAACTGCTGGCAACATTTCACTTCTTACAAGTAGGACATAAATATAAAAGTTAGTGTGACCATGCCCTCATTTTTGGACAACTTTCCAACTCAGATGATGGATAAGATAAGACAAAAGGTGGTGGTACTTTTGAAAAGACTATCAATCACTTTGGTAGACTTTACACTGTCTATATTTATACACTTTTTTAAAAATACTCTTCAAAAATCCTACTTCACATTGAATATTGTCAGTGACATCAAGGAAAATAGGTATTTACTGTCATTCACCAGTGTACAAAAGTCTGCCCATTAATAAAGACTCTTAAACCAGTAGGTTGATCACAGTGAAGACTCGTTTTCTTGAAACAAAGTTGAAAGTGACATGCTGAAATGTCTTGATATTTCATTTAAAGAAGGAAATGAGTGTTATTTGTACAGTTCCTGCTATTGAACAGTGCTATGCACATATGTGAAACTTTATCATCTAAATAAATTCCTTTTGAATTAGTTTTCAGTCAGCTGTTAGGTTATCTGTGAGCTCAATGAATAAAGTATATGTGTCTGCTGACAACTACTTTGGTAAAAGCTTTCCTTGCAGTCAGTGAGCTTTTAGGATCCTTTTCTAGTTGTGTGTCTGTCTTTCCTCTGCCCAGAAACAACAGTCTTTCCTTTTTTCATATAGTTCACTCATGCTTATATAATATTTATTTACAGTGTTATACAATACTATTAAGTATTCAATTTATTTTACAACTTCCTGGAGTTTCTGAATTTTGCCTTGGTGACCCATGACTTTTTTCAAATGTTGCCCTTTTCCTTGCATTCTTTTTCACCCCATGTTTTGTGCTAATGCCTTTAGCACAGGTCTCCCCATACACAATAATCTTCCTTTACTCCTACTTTAATTTGATTAGAAACTTATCAACAAATTATAGTAAGTATAGTGGATTGTCACATAAGTTAGTATAAAAAGCTACTTCTTTCAACTTTGACTTTAAAGTGCATATTTTGACTATTATATTCTAGTGCTGTAGGAAGATTGGACCGTCAGATGTTCTCTATGAACATCTGTGGAAGTTGTGATTAATAGGCTCCATCTGATTGTAATGACATCTAATTTGTTTGGCATTGTTATCAATGTACAAAACTATTCTTTCTACTATAGTTTTTAGGAAAGAATGAACAAAAATTTTTGGATATTAGTACAAGAAATACAGTCCAAGAAAAATGTGGCCATACTGCAGCAAGTCTAGTGAATGACCATGAGGATGATTAAGGGACTGGAGTATCTGTCGTATAAGGGGAGGCTGAGAGAGCAGGAGGTGTTCAGCCTGGAGGAGAGCTTCATCCTTTGAGATATTCAAACTCCAGCTGGACATGGTTCTGGGCAACCTGCTCTAGCTGGCCCTGCCTGAGCAGGAAGACTGGGCTAGGGCATCTCCAGACATCACTTCCAGCCTTGATGATTATGTGATTTTATGATGGAGTTATTTTTATTTTTCTGTGTTCCTGAGTTTTGAGCATATTATTGCTGACGATTAGCTCTGTTCCTCTTTTCACCAGATGTAATGGTACACTTCCATGCTCTCACAAGAGTTCACTTAAACTGAATTGAAACCACTTAGTTAAAAACAAAAAGCAGTCCAGCTAAATCAGATCATGCTAATCAGAGAAATAAGCATTCCAATGATCTGGTGAATTCTTTAACCGTGCCCACACTTCAGGGAAATTTCACCCACACGTGAAAAGCATCTCTGGATTTTAATAATGGTCTAGGTACTTATAAATTTCTATAGTATCTGTAAGTTTCTGGAGGCAACCTACTTCTGCTATGCTCATATATTCCCTAATAGAAACATTTGTTTCATTATTGAGCTAAGGTTTTTGCCCTTTTCACTCCTCTGAAGATTTGACTTTATACGTGCTCTTTAGGGGTGAAATAAAGAAAATAAATTAAGAGATCTACAGATTCTGGCAAAGAAAAGCTCTGGAGGGGAGTTAAATGACTAAACACCATTCTTGGCACAATGTTAGTCTCAGAACCGTTGCTGAGATGAGGGAAGCAGGTCTACCTTAGTCATACTGTCTTTAGGAAGTCTACATTTGAATTCTCTTTAGCTTCCACAGAACGCATGACAAAAATCTTAGGGAATCTCTGTAAATTATCTTCACTAAAAATGAAGAGTGTCCATGGTTTACCTTATTCTGTCCAGATAACTCTTTAAAGAAGTTCTGAGATTACAAAATTCAGAGTTTAATGGGATATAGATACACAGCTGGCAGTTTTTCTTAAGCCATAAATCACATCCCAGTGATAGAGGCCTAAAGATGCTGAGATGACATCAGAGATGTAAAGCTGAAAAACCTTGTTCTGAAGATCCCATTAAGTTGCAGGGTAACCCCAGAGGGGCCAGCACTCCTTAGGCAGCATTCAGTTCAGCTCCATGGTTCCCTGGGAACCTACAGCTGTAATTTTCCATGTAACCAGGAATGACTGAATGTGCTGCCTCAGGTCCATGCTCATTTTCCATCTAAGGCTGACGTCTCTAAGTGAGCTTAATCTTATAATTCTCAGGTCACAGGCATT